AGACCCAAGCTCCAATCCCCAAAAGAAGAACCGATCCTCTTCAAATATCTCCAGACTTCGCCACCCAGATCGTAAGTAAACAGAAGTAAAACCCCTGGACAATTTCCTGCAGCGGATCGAGAAGCTGATTGACTCTTTGGAGAATATCCCGAAACAAAGGAACAAGTTGCCCTTCGATAAATCCCAAAATATTCCCGGATTGGCGCGCGCCAACAGCAGAGGCCGCACACGAACGAAGGTGGAATGAATAGAACAGACTAGCGGCAAGAGTCCAATATATTTTATCCCTCCGAGGTTTCGTCGTAGCAGCCCTCTGAGGAGGAAGATAAGGGTATAAGCTAGGATAATAATTCCCAATAACCCAGCTCTGACGATATCTTCCGAATCCCAGGAGGAGCAAGAATACCAATTCCAAACCCAATCTTCTACGTTATCTATCCCTCCTTCCGCCTTTTCGTCCGAACCGAAAGAATCGTTTCCCCTGAAAAGACTTCCTCGGAACCTCAACAACATCGTCCTCCTCTTCCCCACATCGACCTACCACGAACACAACCCCACAAAACAACAACCAAACCCAACCCCTGAAATGAGCGGTTGGGGAAAGGTCGCAGCACTATTCCATGGGGACTCTCCTCTGCATCCTCCAGATTTTCCGAAGGCGCCCCGCCGCCCCTAGAGGGGGTTAAGAACCATCTCTGAGATTTTTGGTCGCGCGGCCTTTCTCCCCCAGAGCGTGCGTGCCCGGTCCGCGGAATAGACCCGGCATAATCGCGCAATATTTAGTCGAAGAGAGATAAATGAAATGGAAATTCTGGGCTGGAGACCTTAGGCCGCAAAGATAAAAAATCTTACGAGATTTCGAATCATTTCTTTATTTTGATTTTTATCCCCTCCATTTTATGCGTACCATTATCTATAATCCTATATGGATTCATGAAATAATAAGTTCAATTCGAAACCCGAATTAAGACGTTGATCTGCTTCCCTCATAAGATAGAATTCCCTTCATATATCATAGATCGACATCTAATAATTATTTATTATAAGAGAATATCATCAAATCTTTAAATAAGAATTTTTTATAATAAGAAATATCTCCATCTCAGATCCAGATATTCCTCCGAGCCGTTACGCAGATAGCTAAAGAGAAAGAAAAATTTCGAAATCTCGAGAAATTTCTGTATTTGTGCGGCGGATCAAAAGAATATATAAACGCCCGTAGACAGACGTAGCCAATCGTTTCAAGAAAAATCCTTATAAATACGTATTTCGTAGAGGCTCCTCTTGATAGATATAGCAATGCCCCCAAAATAAGCAATTCCCTCAATTATTACTAGGCCGGTAATCCTCAATTTCAAATCTCCCGGCGCTTACTCAAGATTCGAGATATCAAATTATGAAAAAATTAGATTTAGGGTTGTACGTATTATTTTCTTCCTTATCAGCTCGATTGCCGTTACGAATATATTCCAGCGACAATGCCGGGCTACTATATAAACAACGAATCATACGATATTGCACGCATAATTTTCGTGAAATAATATAATCTTTTCGTATCTTCTTTCCTGAATATTTCGTGGGTCTTTTGAATTAGTCGAAGTATTCGATCAAAAATAAATCGAAGATAAAGATCTTTAGAATAATCTTCATATCCTCTTTAATTTTATGAAATATATTTTCAAAGAGACTATATTATCAATTATCATAATAATTTCTCATACGAATATCTTAAGATTTAGATATATATATATATATTTGTTTATCAAATTTCGGATTCGATTATAGAGTAGAGAATTCAGAGGATTGATGAATAATCGATTTTTTTCATCATAGCCCAAATAGCCATTGAATCATGGCTCCGTAGCGGGGCGGGCGGTTATTTGCGTTGGTCTGTTATAAATATCGAGCTTACTTAGATTTTGTATATTAAATCTAGGGTTGCAATAGTGTTCTAGGCATCGTGTGTTCAAGTGCGTTGGAATCTCCTTTCCTGTAGCCCTAAGTCATTCGCTGAATTATGGCTCAATGTTGAGGGTTTGGAGCATCTTCAACGTAGTTCCAAAGATTCTGGGGATCTTGGGTGACAATGCTGGTTGGGTTTAACCGCTAGATCATGAAAGCGTGTTCACAAGCCGTCATAGGGAGGATTGCCTCCGATGCCAAGACCACCTGCATGATGTTGGCTGGCATGTTCAAAGTTTAGACTTCCTGGGATTAGAAGCAGAGACGTTTGGGCTTAGGGGTGGAGGGTTTAAGGTTTCGGGCAGGAGGGATTGGGTGGAGTCACTTGAGCTTTTGGTTGGAGGCTCTTGCGGCTTGTTTGCATATTGGCTGTTTCCATTTCCGAGCTCAGGCAGGAGGCAATTTGTACAGCCCTGTGCTTGCTTTCTGATGTACGTCTTCGATGGGGAATTCTGATCTGCCACTTAGATGTCTGAGATCTGGAAGAATCTGGGTCAACTCTTAGCAGGGGTTACAAATGGAGGCTGTATCGCACATGCCATGTTCTGAGCCAGAAGGAATTTGGTGCACACTGACATTTCGAGGAGACCGGAGCTCTGGGATTAGAAGATTGGAAGCAAAACTCTCTAGTACAAGGTGCTTTGTGGCAGGAAAGCCACATTTGGTGGTTGCACCACGCACGACTGGGCTGTCCTATGACATCTCAAGCTTTGGCAACAAACTTCGCCTGCAAGGTGCTTGCCTGGCACTTCGCCCAAAAGTCTCACACTAACTTCCAGAACATTTTTCATACTCTAAAATCTCAGTGCAGCTGAGCTATGAGCAGTGAGCAACATGAAAAACATATCAGATCGCCACTTTCAGCATGTTGCAGGACCCGCCTGCAAATGGAAACCGTACCACGCACGTAACTCCCTGAAAGCGGAAATATGCCCTTTGAGGATCAGTAGGCTTTCTGACTTAGGAATGGGCTTTTCTTTGGAAGAGTAAGGCGTTTTCTTCAGGAGGACTACAAAATCACAACCTAGACTCATGAGAACTTTTAGTCTGCAAAGTCGGGATGGTTTTGGAAAGCCTCAACCTATGCTTTGTCGTTTCGTGTTGTCATCTTGGCTCTCAGGGGAAGAGAGACCTGGGCAGCGGTTGAAGGCCAGGAGCGGGAGCAGAAACGACAAGAACATGACAAGATGTCCAGGACATAATGCAAAAACAACACAAAGCGCAGATCACCATGGCAAGCACCTGACATTTTTTCTGTTTGCAGAATGCTGGAGCCCGAGCCTTTCCACTGAAATAACCACAACGCAACAACCAAAAAGACGAACACCATTAACGAACAGATGGCACGTAACTGACAAAATGATTAGGCCCAAAACCAACGGCAAACACATGTCAACAACAAAGACAGCAAAATGACAAGAACCATTTCCAAAATGGCCCAAGGAGAGATCCTGGACACATAGTAAAGTCTGCAGTGCAAGTTCTTACAATCCTCATCAACCCTGGAGCCGAACACGCAAACCTCTCCAGGCAAACCCTTAGCAAGGGTGCCTTCGCCAAAGCCCGATAAACGGCGCCCATACCTCCGCCATCCACAGGGGTTCTGCGAAGCCTCATAGGCAGCAAATGAGTAATCCCAAGTATACAAGTCCGAAAAAATCAGGCTTCAGGTCTAGGATTTCTGGGTTAGCCCTGACCCTAAAGGTTCAAGCACGCGACAGTTCAGTACTGTGGGCTCGGGAAAGATTCATGGTAATACACGCTGTGGTGAAGTGAACCACTGCTGGATTCTTGGACGATTCGGGTATTGGCTTGTTCGGTAATGCACCCTAGTAATACTTACTCGAGCGTTACAGCAATGTTCGAGTTCAGGTTTTCAAGATGTAGTAGGTGGTGATGTGGCGGCTATAGTGCACAGGCTAGGATAATTTCACTGAAATCCCGCCTTCACTTTCCAATGTCGGGCCAAACGCTTGTGAGCATAGGCATTCAACTGAACCAGCAAACTCAAACGGTGTGATTCCGTATGCACATGTAGAAATCACACGCGGGGTAATTATGAAAAGATCTTTGCAATCAGCGGTGTGCAGCTGGTAACCGCTCAGTCGCTATTAGCAGCATCTAGAATCAAAGTTATTCATTAAGCTCATTTCGACGGCCAAGCCTGCACTCGTCCGACGCATCATGGCATGGCTTGTCCCAGTCACAGACTTGAGACCGAAAGAGGGAGATTCTTCCAAAATCTGAAGCTGACACTTTAGGCACCTGTCACTCAAACTTTGGATCGAAAGAACAGTCTTCGAAGGAAGGGCTGGACTAATATCTCCCCATTCCATCTAATTGCTGACACGCCCAGCTGCAGCCAAGGAAGGCAAAACAGGGTTTGCAAAGGCTCCAGAGCTCACTGCACGCTCCATGTCTGCATGTATGACCACCCAGGTACTGTAGCAACCTGGTTTGCAATCATGGCAGTCTTCTTGAGACTCTTCATTTCGGACCAACTCCCCTACCTCCAACCTTTCAATCGCTCTTATCACGTAGAAGTCCAACAGATGGTTTTTCAACACAGACTTTGCATAGACCGCGCTTTGAGATTGGATCAGTAGACCCAGCTGGGAGTGATATAGGGGAATCGGACCAAGCTGCTTTTCCTTTGCAGAGCAGCAGACTGAAAGGGCTGAATGGACGGTTGTGATACAACGTAATGAAACATCTGTTGCTTGGGGGTGTCTCTCAGATCTAGGGGCCCATGTCTTGGGTACCCCTAGCAGGCTCTCTACTGCTTTGGGTAATATGAGGTGACTGTGACTTGAGCAAATCCTCATAAGTCAGATGTATCCAAAACACAATTTTGAATCAGGTTCATTTCCTTCTCGTATTCAACCTTTTAGGAAGCCAGAGTCGCAGAGTCTTTTGCGTGCTGGGTAGTCTCATCCGACGATGTACTACTTTTCGCAGGATTTCCCGCTGCGCTGCCTCGGATGGGTTCATAGCTGCTTTCCTGCACCCTTCAGCGAACTTTTTATTGCGTGAAGCTCCTTCACCACGGCGGTCGCTGCATCGAACTCAGGCTCTACCAGCCTGCATGTAGTCAAATGCTCAAGCCATCCACCCTGCAGGAGCTCGTTCACAACAATCGCCCCAAGCTGCGCTCTCGTGATGCTCTGATAAAGGCGAGGTCTCGCTTCCAAATCGGTATCCGCATCACTGCCTGCATCTGCAAGGTCGTTTATGTAAGACTGAGCAGCTACCAACAACAAACAAGCCGGTGCACAATTCATTAGCGGTCAAGACCATTCGCTTCATGCTTCCAGGCAATTTCAGGGCCGTGGGGAGCTACTTGCAAGCCTCACGGAGAGGGGAAGGTTGAGAACACATGAGAAACAAAAGGAAGGCGTCTTTTGGGCTGGCTTTTTCACTGTCACCTTCGCAGTGCCTAGGATGGAATTCTCCGCCAAAAAATAAATCCATTCTATCAAGTTGGGGCCCGCTTCCATCCACTTCAGCCCTAGCTCTCAAGCCATTCGTCGATTAACCAAGCCTGCATGCCAGCACTCTGCGCCTCGCTGAAACAACATGTGTGATGTCCAAGGTCCTTTAATTTCAACGGGCTAGTTGATTAGCTTGGCTGTTTCTAGATTCGCCAGCCAGCGGCATTCGTGTTACCGTGTTGTCTGCTTGCAGCAGTGCCGCTTGGTGTTGTCTTCGATCAAATATCGTTGGCTTCACATTCTACCGCAGATCCTTTCAGCGTTTAAGTTGAACCATTGGGCAGGGACACCGCGAGACACACGTTCAGCTATCCATAGCTCTTGATCATAATGCCATAGGTGCTGGTAGGAACCATGGACATCTCTCGACCTTTTGTTGGCTTTCGGCCAGCTGTTGGTACAGTTCCTGAAGTTCGGGTTGTGGCTTGTGATGCGATTAGATGCTTCTGGTTGGCAGCGCCTTTGAAGCAAGTGCTGTTGCCAGGACATGCTAGGACCAGGCTTTCCTGAAATCGATTTGAACGGGCAAGCTAAGTTGTTCTATCCCAGCGAAAGGAAGTTGGCCAAGATTGTGGTCGAGAGGGATCAGCTGTGGACATACGTTTTCCCGAAAGCACCACGAAGGGCTCCTCTTTGAAAAAAATGGTTGCCCGTCAAACACCACAGCACTTACACTGCTCACAGACAGTGTAGCAAGCACACAACCACACCTACACCACGGCTCACATACACCACAGGACCTATACCGTACACTAGAGCACCTACACCACCACACCGCTCACATACACCACAGAACCTGCACCGCCCATGTACACCACAGCACCTACATGTGCACCGCCCATGTACACCACAGCACCAACACCGCTACACCGCACCACGTACACCAGAGAACCTACACCGCCCTTATTGCATTCTATCTTATGTCTTAGCCTGGGGTGGGTTTGGCGGGGCTCGGCAGGATCCACCCCTCTGCGGGGATCGGGCGTGTCGAAGCGCTCTCGCTGTGGCCCCGTGCGAATCTTCAAGCTCGCCGGCAAACCCTCATCTGTTTCTAGTTTGTGCAGTTGCGGGGCGCGACAGACCCATGCCTGTCATCACTTGTTCACACACAGACCAATGCAATGCTTTAGTCCAAGGCGATGCCTGGCGAATTGATCTTGGCATCCATCCCAACGGCCATCACAAACAGTTGTTCGAGTCCTTTAGCGTTCTCAATTGAGTCCAGAACAATGCATTCTTCACCCAGCTCGTCCGCGACCTTTGGCAGCAAGAACATCAGGGACTCCTCAAAACTCACCAAACGTAGCTTTCTGGTTGGAATTTCCTCTTCCAGTGCTGCCTGCAGGAGGAGCCTGAATCCGTCCCGCACAAAACTATCTGGAACAATTACGGCCAGGGAATCATCAAAGCTCAAGCCTGGATAGGCGCGAATAAGATCCAGAAAGGCTGAAATTGTATGCTGGCAGTAATTCTGCAAAGTTGACTTCACTCTGTCTGATTCAAAGATGTAGGTCTTCAGTGGAGGGCCATCTGAATCCAGGCAACTATTGCGCTCACCCGTAGCGCTGATTTGGAAAGCTGCGGCGCCCAGCACTATCTGCTTTGTGCTTCTCACCGCTTCGGTAAGGAAAACGCGGTGAAAGTCAGGAAAACTCTGCTCCAAAGCGGAGGACTGTGAAGCATCAGAGAGCAAAATGCTCTGTCTGGCTGGCAGTTTCGCTTTGAGAAGACCACGGTCAATGCATCCCTCGCGGCCTCCGAACCTTAACTGAGTCCTTCTCTAGATGCAGGAAGCTGATCCTCACCGTCAGGCTGTTGAGATGTTCAGCAAAGCAGAGGTTGATAACTTTCAGAGATGTTTGTCGTTGTTGGTAAATACAATTTCCGAGGAATCGCCGAGCTTAATTGTCATAAGTCAAAGGCTGCTGCTCTATCAAAAGACTTTAAAAAGTTTGAACATAGCCTTGGGGCCATTGCACCCCTCTCGCAGCTCTGCACACTTTCAGTCATGGTGCTTCTGAGGCTGACGAGCATACGGACGCACAGGTTCAGGCCGGTGCTGGGGAGTTCATGGGAATGTTGGCAGTTTTTTTGGAAATCCGTGGCCAATCTAGCAGGCTCGGGGCGTGGAGGTATGAGGAAAGAAGGCATGATTTGTTTAGCTGGGCTTATGTGTTTCTAGCTGGGTTGACGCTACACATGTTCTGCCTCGTAGGGTTTCGGAAGGGATTTACTAGGTTCTGTAATGTTCAGTAGTATGTCGGGCCTGTAGCAGCTCACTAACCTCCCATAGAACAATTGATTTTATGGAGTGCGACATTGAGCTTTGCAACGCTCTTTTGTAATGCCCACGACGATGCTCCGGAGATGAAGTGTGAAATCCCAAAGGGCTCACGGACGGTTCTGACCGGAACGTACCAAAGGGCAGCACCTGCACTAAGTCCGGACTTGAATGCCTGAGGAGTGTGGCATATGTGGTTGAAGTGGGTCCACCCAGCATTGTTTAGCCTGGTTTTCGCAGCTGAAGGAAGTCGAACAAATCTTTTTTACGTGGCATGCAGGCTGCCGGCGTGAGGCAAACCGAACCGTGTCAGCAGGACGAAGGGAATGCATGGCTTTGCCTGAAGCGATTGCAGCACATGAGTGAGCACGCGAGTGCTACAGCGGCAGGAGCCATCAGTGCGCGAAGCCGAGGCCGACGCTTTGGATTTGTTCTTGGCCATCAAGCAGGGTTCAGGAAAGTCACGGTACCATGTTTCCATGGTGATGGTTCCAGAGGGTCTCTCAGAAATCTGAATGGTTCTCAGTTTCTGCATCTTTCGGAGGGCAGAAAGTTGCAATGGACTAGACGTGATCACAGCCTTCCCATCAGGGCTCCCATCAGGGCAAAGAGAGCAAACAGATTGGCACAAGCGGTTGATCTTGGGCATTGCACGAAATGGTTTGGCTCGTTTGACAGTTGAAGGGTCGGGAACAAACCAATTCTATAGACTGGCATGGAGGCTGTGGGCGTGAGGCAAGCCGAGACGGGTGACGCCCAGGACGCAGCGTTTGCATGGCTGCGGTGCAGTGAGAAAGTAGTCACAGCAGAGGTAGTGAGCATGCGGCACATATGCCCCAGGAAAAATCAGTGCCAGAACCGGAGGCTGGCGCACGAGCTTCGTTCTGTGCCATAAAGCAGGGTTCAGCAGGTCTCTGCTGTTTGAGAGTCTTGATCCCGTATTTCCGCGCCATTGGTTTCAGAAGCTTGGTTTAGCAAGTTTACCAGTTTCTAGATGCTGCGGGTGCAGTCACTCCTTCCAGGCCGAAAAGAGCAAAGAAGACTCATCCAGCATGTCACCACCTTCTGGGCCAAGTCCGCAGAAGGAGATGCTGGAGAAGCACTGTTCATCTCTACAGTTCACAGTCACAGTGAAGGAAGGTGCATCTGTTTTGAGGGATACCTCTGAGATCAGCTACCATGGACACATCGTGCCTGAAAAAGGCAAGAACTGCTGGATATCGTTTCCTGGAAAGTTTGCAGCCGGTTGGGATGCTTTGATCAAGGAGTTTCATGGCGACAGCGTGGCCTGTGTCTTTCTTTGCACGCCGGAAGACGGTTTGGGGAAGCATCATGCAGATCCAGAGGACCCCGATGGACGCTGCCTTTGCCATAAGATCTACGGAGAGAGAGACTACAAGAGGTTCGGCTATCTTCAGAGGATGGCTCCTCCTTACACCGAGGAGAGGATAAGGAAAGCAAAAATGAAAGCTAAAGCCATGAATGCCGTCCACGTTCGTGAAGATGCTTCTCGAGTGGAGATGTCGAAAGCAAATGAGGAGGCCGAGAAGAGATGGAGGAAAAGCGGCCGGGTGGCCTCGTGGGGCTGCGAGTGGTACCACGCTTCTCTCCTGCATTTGGCCTTGCTTAAGATCTCTAGTTGGGTTCGTTTGGTATTTACTGGATTTTGAGGGGAGGCCACGTATTGGAAGCGCTTACAAGGCATAGCTTTGCATGTGGTCAGTTCTGGAAGAAGCTGCCTTGCTGCCCTCCCCTACCCTTCTGTAAACCTTTGGAAGCAGTCCCACGACCCGGAGGCCAGCAACAAGAGCAAGTGGAGGTAGTGGTGGTAGCAGCCTTGGTAGCGGTAGTGAGAGTGGCAGCAGGCCCTAGATAGATCCCCTGGGGATAAATGATTCAGTAGACGATTACAAATCTCCACGCAGCCGCAAACTTCACAGAATCATGGAAGGTCATAAGTCGCCTCACATTGCCCCTACATGATCTCCGTAGGCACAGAGAAAGACAAACACAGCTCAGGTTTGGCTCGGAAAGGTCAAGGAAGCAGTCGCTCTCGAGCAAAGGTTGAAAGTCGTATATTTTCCCGACCAAGTTGGGAAAGGCAAGCTGACGATGGACGAGCTGCGGGATCCGGACAAAGATCCCTGGGATGGGGTGGGATGTGGCGGCTCCCAGAAGTGTGAGATTGCGACTGTGGAGAGGATGAAGCACGTCGAGGGTGCCGCGTGGGAATATGACGAGGTGGATGTTTCCGATTTTCTTCTGGACACTTTTCAAGTTGAACAGATGGTCGATGCTTGGGACGGCAACGAATGGAAGAGAGGAACCATCATTAAAATCCCTTGTAAAGACTCTGGCTTGAAATGGACCGTGAGATGTGACCACTCAGCTGAAAAGATCGAAGCTGATCACGTGCGGCATGTCGATATCACAATGAAGAGGCTTGCTGAGGAAACGGATTTTGACTTGCTTCATGCATTGCGCAGTCTCCTTCCTGAGGGTCAGAAGGTGGTCGGGAATCCCGAGATTCAGAGGCTCAGAAACGGCACCTCGGCCACGACAGTTCGGCTACACAGCATGAGCGTCGACGCACTGCAAAGGCTCTGCGGTGAAGTTCTCTCGGGAGATCTTGAGCTTCAGTTGAACAAAGAATGGTCTAAGAACAGCAGCTACAAACGATGGCAGCTGAAGGCTGAAAAGACCGAGTTTGTGAGAAGTTACAAACATGCCCTCATGAGTCGGTCTGAACTCACGCCGCATCAGCGAACAGTATTAAAGCAGCTTGATGGGTCCAATAATTTTCATCTCTCAGCAGCTGCAGGGTCAGGAAAGACGTTCGTGGCGGTTCAGAGGGTACTGGATACTCTCAAACACCAGGATGGGATGGCACTATTTGTAGCTCCCACTCATACCCTTTGCCTTCACTTTCTGCGATGGCTTGCTATGATGCATGCCGGGCATTTAGCTGGAGAGCCGCGGCGGGCAGCCATCCTGGCCTTGTTCTGTCGACTGAGGCTTATACACAAGCCCTACACATGCTTCAGGAAAGTAACAACTGAAGGCAATCTGCTCCTCCTCTCGGATGATGAAGATATCAGCTATGAATTCCTCGTGGCCATTGTCGATGAGAGCCATGACATTTACCGTCCGGATGTTGACCGTGGCCTACTCAAGACGAAGCTCCCGTCCAGACAGCTCATTCTGCTTTCTGACGCATCGCAGTCCTCTGCTTTGGAGCAGACTTTTCCTGACTTGCACCGTGTTTTCCTCACGGAAGTAGTCAGAAGCACAAAGCGGATAGTCCTGGGTGCCGCAGCTTTCCAGATCAGCGCCTCCAGCGAGCACAACAGCTCCCTAGGCTCAGATGGCCCTCCGCTGAAGACATACATATTTGAATCAGATGGAGAGAGGTCAACGTTGCAGAGTTACTGCAAGCATACAATTACAGCCTTGTGGGATTTACTCTGCGCCTATCCAGGCCTGAGCTTGCATGATTCCTTGGCAATCATCGTTCCCGATGAGCCTTTTCGCGAACAGTTCAGACCGCTTTTGCGCAAGACATTAGAAGAGGAAATCCCTAGCAAAAAGCTACGCTTGGTGAACTTTGCGGAGTCCCTGATGCACATGCTGCCAAAGGTCGCGGAAGAGTACATTGTTCTGGACTCAATCGAGCACGCTAAAGGGCTCGAGCAACTTTTTGTGATGGCCATTGGGATGGATGCCAAGATCGATTCGCCAGGCGCTTCCTGGGATTACAGCGCATCAAACAGGTGCCGTATCATAACTCAGGTGCAGCAGACGACATGGTACAACTGTATAACACCAGTTCCACACGCGAATGCCAGGATTAGCCAAGCTAACCAAGTAGCCCGCTTAAAATAAGGGTAACTCTGAACAACAGCTGCTGTAGAGTGTTGGTATGTGTGCTCGCCTAAGCAGGCTGACAGGCACCTTCATGCTACTTCTTAAGCGCTGGACACGCAGCTTCTTTCGTGAGTTTCATACGCACATTCCCATGGCTCCAAAAACCCAGTGACAAATTCTCAATTACCGCTCATGAAATCTGCGAAGGTGTTGTTTGTTTGTTGCTGCTAGTTAAGCCGGACCCTGTGGATTGTGGATGCAGGCAGTGATGCGGGTGCGAATTTGGAAACGAGATGCCGCCTGTATCAGAGCATCACGCGAGCGCAGCTTGGGGCGATTGTTGTGAACCAGTTCCTGCAAGGCGGCTGGCTTGAGCATTTGACTCTGTGCAAGCTGGTGGAGCGTGAATTCGATCAATTTGAGGGACGTCTCGAATCTTCCGCTGCTGCCGCGAGCGAGGTGACCAAGGAGCTGCAGGCAGAAAAACCTGCACAAGGCACTGAGGAGAACAGGCACGAAGCCTTGCGAAGCAGCGCCGGTGGAACTCCAGAGAAGAAGAGCACATCATCGACTGAAGACAGGCCTTCTACAAAACCATCTTCGTCTCCAGCGTCCGCAAAGGTCACAAAAGAGAAGGCGATGACGCTTCGTACAAGTTGTGTTTGGGATACAACGTGCAACAGCATGAAGGCACGGATCTACGAGCTAAGATTCGATCCTTCAAGGCGATCCCCGGCCGAAGCTTTTGAGATCCTGAAATCAAAGCTCACCTCAGAGCCACTCCCAGCCAACTGCCCGTACCCCGAAGACGAGTGCCTCCTTTGGCGACAAAAGCAAGATTTCAGTTGGCAGGAGAGGTACCGCAACGGCAGCAAACAGGAAACGATACTTTCGTTGTTTCTGCGAGATGGCACCATTTTAAGCAAAACGTTGGTGCATGAAAGATCTGAGCACGAAGGTGACCCAAGCGACCACGAAGAGAGAGATCACTTTGACCACTCCAAGTCACATCAGGTCTCAATAAATGAAGGACAGTGGGAGATGGTGGGTTTCATTCTGAGGGAGACTCCTTTTGCTCAAGCATTTGCGTACTGGTCCAGAACAGTGCGCTGCTGCTGGTGTGCACCACCACCTGAGAACGAGTGGGACTTTCATGAGTCCGATTGGGGTGTTATATATGGTGACGGTTCTGCTACTCGTGAAAGCAGTTTGAAGCAGCTTCTCGAATCACAATCTTCACGCTCCATCGACTCACACTTCCTTTTAAGTCTATCAGAGCCAAGACTGGAGGCTTGGGGCATGAACCCACTGCACTTGTGGTTTTGGCGAAGCTGATTTGTGCGGATTTCCCTGAATTTGACAGTGAAAGGTGTCTTATTATTTGGGAAACATCCTAAGAGGTGTTTCGTTCGCTGTCTCACGACCCTCCATCAGGCCCATGCAGTCTGCTGGTTCCCCAAAGGCGAAGCAGCCTGGACCAGTTCCCCTGCCACTCCCTCTGCGCCGACTCATCACTTACGGTCTGTACGTTCGATTTTAGGTCAATTTTGTTGGGGTGAAGGGGCTTTCATGATTGAAAGCTCGATTTGTGCAGTGATTGCTTCGGGCTTTGTGACAGTTCTGTTGGAGTGAACTGGTTGAAGCCAAGGCAGGGGAGCTGGTCCAAATTGAAGACAGTCAAGAAGACTTCCATGCATGGCGACAAGGCGTTTGCAATCTGCTATGCTATCTACGAAGTGATGCATGTAGAACCAGCATTGCTCTCGATTCCTGAATAGTTCCTGAATTAACTCTGCGGTCAGCCCAGGAGCCTGTGCGAAGCTTGTCTTGCCTTCTTTGACCAAAGCTGAGTGCGTGACAGTATGATGGAATGGGGAGAGGTCAGCCCGTGCCTTCGTTTCTAATTTGAAGCACGGCTGTTGTTGTCTAACTCTTTCTCAATCCGAGCTTAGGTGACAGATGCTAAAAGTGCAAGTTTCAGCTTGTGGAAGGATTGTCTCTAATCATCTAGAGTCTGCAGTGGCCGGAGTGACCGGAGCGATCAATGGCATGCTGCGCTGGACCATTGCTGGGCTGGGCTGTCGCCTGGCTTCCTCGGGTGAGAGATTGGTAAGTTAGATTCTCGTACGAAATGCGGTTCAGGATATGTCTCATGTTCACGGCTTCAGGGGATCAATGCTGGCCGGAGGGTTGCACCTGCAAAGCTTGCCAGCCATGATTGCACGTATGATTTCGCACTTGACTAGCACGTTAGGTATATTGAGCGGGAATTGCTATGAACCATGACAGAACCATCAAATCATGCAGGTTGCGCCCTCAACTCTTCATAGCCCTGATGTGGAACACCTGAAACTAGCGCCCCTTCTCATTGTCCCCCAAGTCTGCGCTGTTTGAATTTGCCCGAGGGCTTCGGGACTGTTCCGGCAAGCACATCCGCAAAAGCCTAAGCCAAATCCTTGGTCCAAGGTCTCAACCTGGAAGATCCCAATCACCTTCACGCAGGGAAAATGCATTCCAAAAGGCTTAGACGCGATCACGTGCTAGTGGCTTGTGGAAGCCGTGAGATCATTGTCTTAAGAAGGGTTTGGATCGTGCTGTACGAACTTCTACGCAAAAATCTTCGTCGCTAGCCCTAGATCCTTGAACTGGAACACTGCTGTAACCTAGGTAGGGAAACCCCAAGAGAGAACACTATATAGTCCCCTATTTTTACCAACATAGATAACCCTAGTGGTTCGCAACATGCCTGCCTTGGCTATAACTCTCAAACCTCTAGCAGTATTTCGGAGTGCACTTTCCAATCTTCAACCACTGCCAAAAAATAGTGTCCAGTGATTCGACCGCCTCATCTGCTGCTCATGAGGCTTCAGAGATGTCGCGGTGATCGGCGGAGATCCGGGACTATCGGGGACCTCCTGAAGGCACGTGCCCCAAGTGTTTGGTTGGTGCGCTTTTAAACTCCCCTGAATCAAGGCTAGCTGGGCAGTTGTGAGGATTCCCATGGATGCTGATAACTGTCCCAGACCCTGGGTGTTCAGGGCTTAGGTTTCTTAAATCCGGGACCTTAACACCTGAGCTTTGAGCCTTTTACCGTAGCCTCAAGCCCTGAGACTTTAGATACATCCACCGAAATCCAAAAACTGTTTCTTCTTCACTACACCTTGATAGTTATTCTTGAAAACTAGATGTAAGCTATGATTTTAAGGCGTTTCTTGAGGTTAGGGTCGTACTCTAGTATGGAATGTGGGAATTTCCAGTAATCGGGGGCCCTTGATATACCTTAGAAGATACTACCACACCTGTTCTAAGGAACAAAGGACCTGGAAACTCTCATATTCTGGAGAGCGTTTAGGGGTCGCAGGAATCAGGCTTGGAGATCAAGCCTCGGAGCTTCAGAGTTGGCACAGGGGGTAGGATTTCAAAGGGGGATACTGTTATGACTGAGCTTATGTCCTCCTTTTGGCTCTAAATATGCTCGGAAGAATATCATCCGACTTGGTTCAACCACCAAGAAACATCCCTCGTTGTGGTTGTCCTGTTGCGGTGCCCCGTTTGCTAGGGATGCTCTTGCTTTTAACCCCTAAAATCCTGTCTCTTGAAAGTACCAACACTCAGAATATCGCATGCGGTTCAGGAAATTGGATGCGCGCTACAGCCTCCATTATGCCTCCCCAATTTCTACTTGGGAGGCATGCGCAACTGGCCTTCATTTGCATTCGTATTCCCTGCAAAAATCCACTAAGAGCGGCGTGACCGTTGGAGCTATGCGTCTCTCTGCCTCTACCATGGAAACTCAAAGTCCCACTACCCAGACACTTGAGCCGACGATATGTAAATATGAACTGGTTTGGGCATAAAGTATGCGCCGTAAAGGTCATTGAGCCCTGAGGGTGGAGACCACCGCATGACCGAAAAGGGTTTTCATGCGACAGGGATTCAGCAACTCATCTGCTGCACTGCACAGGAGGCTTCGGAGATCCTCGGGTGGCTGGCGGGGGTATGGGAGGCGATTATCGGGGCCCTCCGGAAGGGATGCGCCAAGGGGTTGGCTGTCGAGGTTTTGGGGCTTGAAAACTCGAACTCGTACTGCAGATTTGAAGTATTTCCGGGATTGGTTTTGCTGTTTTCGTATTGTTTTCCCTGGAGTTCGCTACTTTTTTTGTTGCGTCGTTTTGTTTGTATGTGTTCGCGGATTGGGCTCAATTTGTATGTGTTGTTGTCCGTTTGGTGGCGTGTCTTCGTCAATGACGTGCCGTTTGGTTGTTGCATTGTGGTGTGTTTGGCGGACAGCCCGGGCCATGGTTGCTCTCTGGAAATAGAGAAAATCTCAGGTGTCTCACATGTTTTTGTTATGTTAAAGTCGCTTTTTGCCACTGGGGCATCATGTCCTGGACCTCTTGTCACTTTCTTGGCATCGTCCCTCTTGCTCTTCGCGCAGGAGGGGTCTCGCTCTGCCTGAGCGTAGTCTTATTTGGCGCAAAGACTTAGAACCCTCCCTCCCCCCCACCGGTCTTTCCTTCCTTGCACTGCAGAGAAATAAGCTTCCAATCCCGAAGCTCTTGTCCTCTTAAGTTGCTAACATTAAAGAAGAACGTTTGCTTCAGAAATAGTATCCGCACTACAGCCTCCATCCTAATATAATAATGAACGCCCACGTTCCACCTGGTGGTATTCTTTTGTTTTACATCATCAAGATGCCACAGTTCCTAGCTGGGAGACATGCTGGGGGCCACATTTTATTTCCCTCAGACATCCGCGTGCCCTCTCCAAACATCTACATCGTAGCAAGCACAAAGCTACACAGAGTTGCCACCAGCTTGGCTAGGAAAGAGAATCACGCAACATGTCAACAAGCTGCAAAGCTCCAAGCCCAAAAAACGCCGCAACCCAATCCCTCGCGCCCCAGACCATTAACCCTCCACCCCTAAGCCCCAACCTCTGAAAGTCTAAAAACCTTTCACGCTGAACTTTGAACATGCCAACCACCATCTTGCAGGTGGTCTTGGCGACGCAGGTATGACGGCATGTGAGTGCGCTTTCCATGATCTAGCTGTTAAGCCTGCCACCCAATAGCCAGAATCTTGGACCTGCATCAATGATGTCCCAAAATCCCCTAAAGACTGAGGAAATTGTTCAGGGCTGCAGGAGTAGAGGCTCTTTTGCCTTTTCCCCAACCATTTCATTGCGATCTATGACCTGTTCACTAGAAGACTCGAACGCTTGAACACGAGATGCGTACGGCGCTATTATTGCGGCCCTAAAACTCAGCGACAGGGTCCAGAATGTTGTCAAATACCTGCTGCCTGCACAGAAGTTTTGAATCGTTCCGACTGTGTGCAAGCAGAATGCTGCAAACAACCGCCCAACAATGAGCCAAAAGGCGCAACGCTGCGGCAACATGATGCCGTGAGAATTCCAAGGCTTTGAGGGCGAGGCCTGTACCAGGACCCCCGAGGCGCAGCGTTTTTGTTTGTTAGTTAGCCCCTTGCACCATTTGCGTTGGCTCCTGCGCATGAGTGCATAAGTTGTCTCAAACCTCAAACTCCGTCTTATCCTTGGATCCCATGTTTGACCATTGAACCTGTCCGTCGGCAAGGTGTCCAGGTATGGTAATTATTGGCTAATGACAAGAGAGCTTCAGAGATGACAGAATTACTCTAAAGCCCAAGCCCGAAGCACGACATGTGGATGTCTCGTACGTGCTGCCTCCTGCACAAATCCGGCAGCTCCACGTTCAAGAGTGTTGAACGCATTGTGTTTCTTGGCAGTCGCTACGTAGGTCGCTAAGGGCAAATTAACGAAGGCAAATGAAATTTATCTTCCCAGGCTATTGGTCCACGACTCCCTTATGTGGGATTAAAAGTACGGGAAAGTGTGTAGTTCAAGTTCGTGTGCCAAGGCAGCAAGAAATCTAAGGCTGTCCGGGAATTCCAAGCGTAAATCCAAGCTAGACCTGAGGATGTTTTGAAACATTGTTGATGTTCTATTAACCGTACTCTTGCTTTTAGATTCGCAAAATCCAGTGTTGTAGGGCTTGTTTAATCCTCGCTGGTTCTGGGATTCGACTGGCTTGTTCGCGACATGACCCCTGATTTTGCACTCTGCCCGACCAGAAGGCTATGACACGCAATGTTGTCGCGCGATTCAGGGCAGAACAGCTGTGAGTCATACTGTAGGTCTATGAACCGAAAACAGGACAATGTGAGTGGATCGTGTGGTGCTTGGCACTTGCCAATAGCTAGGCCTTCGAAGCTGATACGCAACCGTTCTGCTGCATGCGGGCTCGAAGCGGGCTATCCGTGCGCACAGTGGGTTCTCCGCTGCGGGTAGATGCA